TATTTTCCTTGGTATTGATCATCGCACATTCAATCGAAAAATGCGTTTTGAAAGAAGTGAAAGAAAAACTTTCGTTCAGAAGATTCATGCTGGATTTGTTCGTTATCGCATTTTTCGTGGAATGGTCTCAACTTACAGCCCTGCTGTACATAAACAGCGGTATTCTGGAGTTCGTTTTGTCAATGGGCTATCCCGTAACCTTCAAGCTAAATAATCAACCGTCTTCTTCAACTCGGGGTGAGCACAGTCCTCTCAAGATACCCAGAATCGTTGGTTGGTTCGTAAACAAAAAAAAGATCGATACTACGGTTGACAACCTGAGGGGTGCTTTGTCAGATGCAATAGAACTCACAACACAAATTATGAAAGTTTTGCAAAATATATTTAACAAAACATCTTTTGCAATCATTATTTTACGCGTAATATTGTACGTGAACATTTTCTGGATAATAGTTTGGGACCAGATTCCTTGTTCATACTTGTTTGTTTATGTTGTTCTTTTCACTTATTTATATATATCCAAACAAATATCAACGTTATTAATGATTCCTGGTGATAATATTCTGAATACCCTACGTACATTGAAGAAGAAAATTTAATAAATCCATATGAAATACCGTTGTATGATTTTATATTATCGATATCCGGATCCTGGACAGGACATATGAAGGTTGTTCAGAAAGTATGACTTGATGCTATTCAACGCAATGTTTATATTTCCAAATATAAAAACGGATTATAAATTATACAAACGTGCTTGATATTATATTGAGGAGATATACAGTATAATTTGTTGATATATTTTTAATTTTGAATCGTTTTGATATTTCAAAGAAGTGCAATATATACTACATAATGCTATTTTTTCATTTGATTATTTCTTTGACGTAATTATGCTGTGAAATTTCAAAAACAGTGGCTATGTCACTGTTACCCATTGTAGCATTTGATACAATATCATAAATGCATAATTATTGTCGGGGACCGTTTTTATCACGTCATAAATGTATATATATAAGACTTATGATTTCAGACGCTTTCGGAAATTAACTGTGAAACCTTTGAAAGAACCAGTTTTGGTGAAACTATTATTAACATTTATAGCGGTATTTTTCAACAAAATTCAAAGGTGAATACCAGCAACGATAAACAAAATTCAAGTGGTTCCTCTTTAGATCAATACGATACTTTAGTTTCGCAAGCATATGGTGTAGAATGTAGATGAACATAGACAAATATGGGCGGGAGAAAGGGATTATCTAATAACTAAATTTTTGAACAACACACCTCCTTCGCTTTTGCCTTCCTACTATGTTGCAATGGTCGAGAACTTTTTTTTTAAAATCAAAAGACATGTGTGAAGATTGCTCGATACTACACAAAGTGAATACAAGATAGATTAACAAAGGATCACCAAGACAGTAGACGAAATACGCGGCCCAGAGGCAACATGTTAGTAAGAGAGTCAAGTCATTACACCTGACGCCGATGTTTTAGGAAAGAAATTAGGTGACATTTAGGTTATTGGTTTATAATCTTATAAAGCGTATAGTAATCAATCGTGAGTGAAATTAACTGAGCAACAAAAGTTTTTTTCCTATAGTATAGGATAATTAGACTCATAGCAGATGGCTCATCTAACTCATTTGAGACGTGGGAAATAAAAATCCTTTAGCTCACGCATAGCTAAGAATTATTTCAAATGAATGAGTATGCGATTGCTTCACGATTCGTGTCCCAGTCAACGTTTGGATAAGACATTTTGAACAGCTAAAACCTGATTTACACTAACAAAAAGGTGTATACGCAACATCGTATGCTGCGTTGCAAGATGCTGATTTATTAGATTTTAGAGTAGCCTAAGACTGGAACACACTAACAGGATAAGATTTTGTCCCAGGATGGGGGAGAGGAAAGCCGATAAGATGACGTACCACGGTCTCTGGCTGGGCTACTAGTTCATGTCGGATATGGGATTAATTAGCCAGTTATTTGTTTTAGATGCGTGGACTTCGTGGAAAAAGCTATAACCGACTAGCGGTTACAAGACGCATCCGAGGAGTCCAGCAATCCTCTCGCACATAATCACCTCTCACAGAATTTGATCCACGCAGGGTAATAATGGGTGCGTCCACTATTCACCCATTCCAGTATTTTAAATAGCTTTGATGCCTTGCAGTGTTAATTTGTCACAATACAATTGAATGATCACTTATAAGATTTGCTCCATTTTAATCAAGATGTTTTTAAGCATCAGTATCATACAATAATACACTAAATGGAATGATTCTACATTAATCTTACAGTAAAGCAATATCATTAAAATGCAAAAAGAACTGCAGCGGGAGCATATTCAAAATACACACAAAGAAAAAAGGTCTACAGTGAAAACAAAAAATGAACAATTACACATTAAAGCGATGTTTTTTTTTTAGATGAAGAACAGTCGCTCAGGATTCGGTTTACCCCACTGAAATGACTAACTTTAAGTCCATTCATCTACATATCTAACACATGAATAAATAACACAATGTAATAACTGTATTCATAGAAATACAGTGTATACCAATGGAAAATTCCTATAATAAAGTACCAATTAGAGAAGCATTGGAAGCTGAATTTCATTTAAAGTGCAAAGTACGTAATAGATTAAGCTGATACAGAAATAAGGACATCTACATGATATTATTATAAATATGAATAAGTTGCGTTCATTTTTCTAGTTATTTGAAATTTAGGCCTTGCAGTGGTCTTATACAGTAATTAGTGGAGACCAACAAGAATGGCGATTCAAATGATGGAAATATTGCTGAATTAAATGAATACCAGCCAGATTCATGAAATGAAAAACTAGGTACAGTGATTAATGTGGTCATAACACAGTTTCATTGAATAGCCTTCGTATGAGATATGAAATTAAAATATAATATTTTGACACAGACCAGTGAATATCATTTTACGATGATAAAAGTATAACTTGAATCAGAAATATTTCAAAATCACCTATAAAATGAATTTAATCAAGAATTGATTAAATGATTACACAAATATTTCAGTTTAGGACATTGATGGCAATGTGGAGGTATGACTTAAACAAGTAAATTGACATACCAATCTTTTTGATACTGGTACATCACAGAGATTCATATTCAAATATTTGTTTGAAAATGACATATGTTGGTCAGAGACAATTTGATAATATCGATATTCATTTAAAAACCTAATTCAAAGGAGTTTCATAGACATATTTCAATATCACATGCTCCAGTCAAGTTATTTACAGCCAAAAAACTCCCAGCAAATTCAAGTTTGCTGGAATTAAAGCATCATTCCCGGTTAAAATTGAAATTAAAGAGAAATGAAAACTTTTTACAATGTACAGCTCACTATAACCGAAATGGAGCCATAAAAGATAAATTGTATGCTGTTTCAACAAAAAACTAGATATTTTCTATTTGTTTGGATATACATGCTCGAGTCAAGTTATTTACAGCCAAAAAACTCCCAGCAAATTCAAGTTTGCTTGAATTAAAGCATCATTCCCGGTTAAAATTGAAATTAAAGAGAAATGAAAACTTTTTACAATGTATAGCTAACTATAACCGAAATGGAGCCATAAAAGATAAATTGTATGCTGGTTCAACAAAAAACTATGGTAGATATTTTCTATTTGTTTGAATAAAGTTAATGCTACATAAAAAGAACAGACCTAGCCAGGGTGAGCAAATAATGCTGTATAAATAAATGATCATCTGAAGTACCACACTATGAATAAACAACACTTGTATGGTATTGGTGAGTATGGCAACATTCGTGAATATGAATACACTGTGTAATACAGTGGTGAGGTGAAAACTACCGTATACTATTACACTGATAATCTGTCAAAATGCCTTGTATATTAATGAAAACGACGCAAGGAAGATTCACTAAGATATAAAATGATGGCACGATTATTTGATAACACAAAAATATAGAAAAAAGTACGGTTGAATCAAATATATCAACATGATCAATGGAAATTCACTGAGATTATAATAAACATATTTCCAAATAATGTGTTACAGAAATATGTTGGTAATAAAAAAAAAATGAAACACAAAACAGAATTTTAAGTAAAGAAATATTCGGAGAGAAATACGGAAAAATAATGTTATTGTGCAACAATTCATAGATAAAGCAAAAAATATCAATTTGTTCATTATAATCAAAAATTTCTGTATTTTTAGAACAGAGAACAGAAAACAAAAACATGAGCTTTGTTTATCATAAGTGGAGCTTACTATTTACTTATTTGATAAGTTTGATACTGCAATTGTCTTCATTATGCTATTACTATATTGAACCATGATACACAATAAATTTCATGATGGCACATACCATTAATTTATTAACAGCATACAAGTATAAAACAAAAGCCTTATTAGGCTTTCCTATCTGTAATAAATGTACTGATGCAAACTCAATAAAACAACAAGTAATAATCTAGGCTTGTTATACCGATACCTTTATAAGCAAGGAATATGTACAATATGTTGATTTTTCTAAATAAAAATATTGGAAGTGAACAAGTTCATATGATAAATTCTGTTTAGGTTTCGATAAATTTCTTGGATATATTACCAATTATTACATTTTGGTTTTACAGCGTGGACTTTCATCTTTGCGACATGATTCTGTGCTTCATGGAACAAAATGAATATATAAATTCCATGATGAGTTTATAAATCAAATTTCTTGAGTATATTATCAGTTATTCCATTACTGTTTAACAATGTAATTGCTGTGTAGAATTTTTGGTGAATTATTAGTTTTTACATTCATCTTTCTAACACAGTTATATGCCGCATGAAGCTATTCTCAGATATAAAATGAATATATAAGTTTCATGATGAGTTCAGAAAAATAAATTTCCTCCTAAGTATGTTACCAGTTATTACACTATTGTTGAACAGTGTAAATGCTGTGTAGAATGTTGGTGAATTTTAGTATATTACTAGTTTTTACATTCTTGTTTTGCCATGTGAACTTTCATCTTTCTAACGTAGTTATATGTTGCATGAAGCTATCTTTAGATACAAAATGGATACAAGTTACATGATGAGTTTATAAAAATGATCTTCTTGAGTATGCTATCAGTTATTACACGACTGTTGAACAGTGAATTTTCATCTTTGCTATTTCATATACAAAGTAAATGAGCTCTATAATGAGTTTGTGAAAATTTCGAATTCAGTATGATTTGAATCTCTCGTTTTTTAGGCGTTCTCCCAAATGTGTTTTTAAAACATGATTGACAGAAAATGAGTGAATGATGGAAACATTTCATTCAATTCTTCGTTGTCTTTCTTTTTCCTCCAAACAACCGTTTCCTCAGACTTTTGCTCCTTTTGATAGATTTATCATCAGTTAATGAAGAATTGAATGAGTTCGATAAGGATGGAGTCGCAGTTGCATCTGAGATGAAAGATTCAGATTCGCTGCCGACAGAAGATTCTGGTTTCTCAGGAGGAGGAGTTATGAGAATGTTTTTGTGTTCTTCTGTTTCTCCTGGATTATTCAAACTGTTGTTTCTTGAGCTTTTTCCTCCTTCTACAAAACTTATTTCACCTTCCACAATGTCTGAAATAAAGTTATAGAAATTGAAATGAAAGCTATTGATAAATATGTATATTATTTTGTATGAAGTGTTTTTACAAATTTTCACTTTGAACAACTTACACCCTGGGTGAGAAAATTGTTGGCATATGGTATGAACAAAAGATTTTTAATCTGCAGACTCAACGATCTAACCCCTAGGTCATCACAAAAAGGATCATAGACAGCTGCAATAAAAGATATCCACAAATACATGTCATAAATTTGAGCTTGTTGGCATCAAAGTTCGAAGATGAGTTGGTTTTCAATACTTTCAGAAAATTAGTTTTCCCTAAAGAAATCTTGAACCAAGTCAAAACATGAAGAAACATATTAATCTCAAACTCATTGAAAATGATCAAATGGAAGCCTTTAGAAACATTAGATTGGAAGTGAAAATTCTGTTGTTTATTTTGTTGACAGAATTATTTAATGTATTCAAATATCCAAAGAAATACCGGAGTCTTTCCTCGTCTTCTTAATTGAAGGCCTTCTTCCCAATTTCGAAAATATCTTGGTGATACTTTTGCTCTTTTTCTTCTTATTTTTTTGTAGTTCATTCTCAGGTACTACAACTGTATTATCATCTTCAAAACCATTGGAAGCATTATCATCCTTTACATCTGTGAGAAAATCATGGCTAATTATATGCAAGCCCAAATTTCCAGATTATCACACTTTTTAGATATATCTGTGAGAAATTCATGGCTAATTATATGTAAGCCGAAAAGTCCAGATTATCACACTTTCACACTGTAGCAGACATTGAGTGAGCCATCTTAACACAAAAGGATGTATAAAGAAGCTATTAAAAAATGTTTAGAAAATTTTGTCCACAGAGATAAAAAAAAATTCATATTTTATGGGAATGAATTTTTACGAATAAAATTGAATACATATCATATTGTTGCAAAATAGGTTACTGAAATAGGGAACTTATATCTTCTTTTATATTCAAATATTATTAATATATAATATAAGTCAACACACATAACATGAACACAGGCAATGATTTCATGATGAATTACATGAACATGCTACACACTACTCCACAGGTTCTCAACCAGTGGGCCATGGCCCACAGCTGATCCACGGAACATTTTGAGTTGGACCACAGACCTATTAAAAATTGCTAGTTTCGTTTGTGTCACAATAGTTAAATTTTAATTGTAGCAGCAATGGAAGACGATGCCGTTTTCTGCTATTGAGGGGTAATTTTCATCATAATTATTATTGTAAAAGTGTCCATTTTCGCAGGAAGATTGTTTTTCCTCTGCATAAAAAAGTTAATGATGTCCCAGAATCATTGTTGAATGGGAATGGGCCACGAAAAAAAAAAGAGATTGAGAACCGCTGCACTACTCGCTAATTACAAATACTAAATCTACACAAAATGAGAAAAAAAAAGATTGCCAAAAATTGCAGAATTGCACCATACTTGCATGCTTGTGCAAATCAGTTGCAGATCCGGTTTTATATTGTTTCTTTTTCCCTTTTCCGAATATCAGACTTCTGCTGCGTCGTACTTTGGGCCCTAATTATGATGGATGAATTACAACAACTATTTCTACAATATCTACATTACGATTTCTACACAACAATATATAACACAAACTGCATACCACCGTGACAAGTGACCTGAAAATTTTCTGATAAAAAGGCTTCAGGTTTTGATGCATTTTTTCCTGGTTAGGGTAAGAAAAGGGCAGAATTACAATATAACACTGAAACGGACTGAGCTAGACTATGCTCTAGCGCAACTTGTATCAAGTGGAATGGAATTTTTTTTTTTTTAAAGCAATAAACTTTTCTTACTTCATTGAAACATCCTCGAACACGGGGCACATATGATTATAGCGTAAGAAAAGACATGGAACCAAGGATAGTCAAATCGTCATAAATTGTTTTACTATGAACACATATTTCTGACTAGAGTAACTAGGCTATATTTCAACATCATGCAAATCTGATTTGAGATAAAACATAATATACAGAATTATTACTACAATTCTAACATAAATTACTACGACAATTTATAAATTAACATAAAATATATAAGAGCAATGACTTTGGTAGCACTAGCAATGGTAGCAATGGCTATATTCAGATGCTGGAGATTGATGAAAAGGGTACTCCTGTAGTGTGTGTACCAGGTTAGGGTTAGGCCATAATTTTATTCTGATTATCTTTATTTTAGTTCTGTTACGAGTTCGGGGACTGTCTGTGTTGGCCAAGGGAATATACCGCTTGCCCATAGGTTTCAGTCCCTTTACACAACTTGATGTAAAATAGGCGAACAAAATTAGTTACCCCCATAATGGTACACATACTTCTGGAGTGCCGATGAAAAAACATAAAAATGAGACACGATGCCGAATAAAGACAGATGATATTGAAAATCAGCGGGCTAACTCACACTCCTTTGTTTCATTGTTTTCAGGAATATGTTTGGTTTCCACCCCAGAGACCAAGCTTTTTGGTCTTTTACTATTTCTTAAATGTCTCTTCTTCGGTTTCACTGAATCTATCGATTGTTCCTGTGGCTGTTCCACCTCAACAACCGGTTGTTTCGGTTCTGTAATGAAAAATTGTTTATGTTAGATGTTTCAGATATGAACAGCGATGATCTGCAGAATTACCGTTAAACCTTTAATTTAAAGAGATACAAGTTCATAGAACTGAATCACTCATCCCCAGCCCGGAGTAAGATTTTTTGCTTTGCTTGTATAAATACAAAATGTCTATCTCAAGATATTTAGCTGGAGTAATGCATTAACCACTTTGTGTGGCATATCATATGAAAACGAACTATAAAAGATACCTATGACTTCAATATCAAGTTGAAATTTTGCTCACATCAAATGCTGTGACCTTTCCTTGGTTATTTGGAATAATGATATAGGGAAAAGACAATTAATAAAGAATTGTTGATTTACATTGATCACCAGGGAAAAGGGTCATTATCAAACTCGCCTTTATTTACAACCTCATCTCCAGGAGAAGTAGTTCCAGAACTTGTCGGTGTTTCAATAGAACTCAAACTATAATACATGTCATCTCCTGTTGCCAGTTTTTCTGTTTTCTTAACATTCTCTGCATCACTTGTGTTTTCTTCATGCCCATTGGTTATTGGTTGTACTTCGGTATCCGCATCACTTTCGATGTTGGTCTATATATAAACACATATTCGAGATAGAATTTTCATATTATCCCAGGGGGAAGAGAAACCGATAAGAAGACTTAATCCTAGGGCATACCACGGCCTCTCCTCTTGTTACTAGTCCATGTCAGGCATGGGATTAGTTAGCCAGTTAGTATTTGTTTCAGATGCATGGACTTGATGGTGGAAGAAGGCATAATTGACCAGCTGTAACATGAACCATCATACAACGATGAGGAGTCCAGCCTTCGTCTCTCACATAACTATCCTGCATAAATATGGCTGATTACAAATTTATTCAGATACTTCATTCATTTTAAATGGACCTAACATAGGCAAATCAATTATAAGATATCATTTTATCAATAAAACAAAATTCAAACCTTCTTTATTGCCGTTATAACCACTTTTCCTCTGATTTTTCCTTTCACTTCAGGACTTGGCTCAACAACTTTACAACTCAAGTCTTTGGAAAGATCGTTCATAACTGTTTCAGCCACTGATCCTTCCACTGTTGCCACATCTGTCAATGTTCATTAAGTTTGTTTTAAAAGCGTCACAAACAGAATTACAAGCATTCAATGAGACAACATTCTGACTAATTTTGCACATAATTTATTTCAAACAAGGCTTATAAGAGTAGTCATTGTAAGAAACTGAATTTTGCAAAGACTGGAACCTTCCCAGCTTGGCATAGACTACTCGATAAAGATGAAATATTTATTATTATATTATGTAACAACGATACCTATTGCTAGGAGAGAATATTTCAAAATTAATAAGCTGAATGAATTAAAAACGAATCAACTTTAATGAAAAAAATATTTTGAAGAGCTTTTTTTAATTTCATATGGCAAAATTTGATTCACTTCGAATGCCTCAAACTCAAAACAGAATTCCTATATATAATTCTTATTTCTTATATTAACAATTCCTAAACTGAAATAATAATTGAATAAACAGTAGAATTATCATTACCTAGAGTCAACTCCAGTCCAATATTTTCCTTCATATTTGGAGCACTTTTACTGATATGAATATTTTCTCTGTCTGATGTTCTAGAAAAAACGATAACCATAAAGGTCAGTATAAAAGCAGATCAGATTTCAGAAAGGTACTCCTGTACCAGGTTAGGCCATAATTTTATTCCAATTTTACTCATTTTAGTTCTCTTACGAGTGCGGGGACTGTCTGTGTCAGCCAAGTAAATATATCCCCTGCACATAGGTTTCAGTCCCTTTACACAACTTGAAGTTGTGTAAAGTAGGCAAACAAAATTAGTTACCTCCATATTGGTACACACACTTCTGAAGCGGCTTCAGAAATTTGCTTATAATTGTCTTTTTTTGCAATATTCGACATTATATTATGTTCTAGACTAGTAATTTCAATGATCATCCTACCTTTTTGGTGAAACTTTTTTGGTTGTTTCAGTACGTACAGTTGTGCTTGGAGAGGTATCCCTTTGAGAACTGCAAAAAAGTGAATTTATGTAGCGCTATATATGGGATCAGAATTTTGTCAACTATATATTGTAAAGCATTAGAAATTCCCTTGAAACAACTTTTACAACAGGAGCAATCCATAATTTATATTCCAAGAATCCAAACCTTTCATAGTGTTCGACTACTCAAATATTACCACTATCATATTTACAGTGTATTAGTCTGAATTAGTCTAGAACCTCAAGATTTTGAAAAATGTTGATGACATTTTTTCAATTGATGTGGAACAATAAACCCAACCTCCCAACTTTAAATGCCAACATGCTTCATATGGCGTATATTCATGCCTTTTGCCTTGAACAAGGCACTATACAAGCTTCCATTGATATTTAACAATATGTAAGGAGTTACTATTTCAGAAAGGGGTGCTCCAGAATTATACGCACCAAGATGTCACACAACCTGAATCCTAACCGGTACACACATTACACATACCATGTTCAGGTTGTGCGCCATCTTGGTGCGCATACTTCTGGAGGTTCCAGAAAGGACATTCCAGTTCAGCATTGACAACCCAATTCATAACACCCTTTGTGCGGTGAAGGGCATGGGATTTAAATCTGAGATGTGTAGCTATCGATGCCAACAAAGTTAAGTCTAACAATTTAGCCGCTAGAAATCACTACTCTGTTATAAAGTCAAATTTTCACGATTATAATCTGCGATGCCAACACAGTTAAGTTTAAAATTAATTTGAAAATTTTTACTCACCCACTGAGTGACAAGTTGTCACTTGAAAATGAAGAGATGGTGGAAGCTCTGTCTTTTAAATATGAAGCCTGAAAAATATGAGAACAAAACATGAAATTCTAAAATACTAATGTACTAATGTAAAATGCGAATAAAAGCAAGTATTTTAAAATGTAATAAAATTGATGGCTGTTGTATTCAATTAAATTGAAATGTTCGTCGAAGTGAGAGAATTGTAATCCATGAAGTGAGTGCCTGCTAGTGTGCAGGACAATTTTAGTGTCTTACTTAGGAGTATTTAAGTTTTATTTCATGTATGGCATATGCTTGATTGGCGTATGTTGAATCGCTGGAATGGCCATGTTATATGCTTAAAGCATGTGAATACTAAGCATGTCTGTGTTTGCAGGTGCGAATAGCACGCTTGAACACATTGTTAGTTTACTCACAGATGGTTGACGACTACGAAGGTCCAATGCAAAACAAGCATTTTTACTTGCCAAAATTTTAATAAACATTATAAAATAAATGACTAAAAAAATACCTTTTCATCAGTCATCGGTGGTAGATGATTGCTGATGAGAGAAAGATCGAGGGAACGACGAGGTGATGAAAATTTTTGTGACAAATCCCTACTACAGTTCACATCGACAGGGTTTTCGGTGAAATCAAGCTGCAGAAAGATAAGAAAGAGTGAAAGAAATGTCACTGTAACCTTGTTTATGGAAAGAATGAACTAGTACCACAATATACACTAGGCCAGTGGTTCTCAAATAGCGGGGCGCACCCCACAGGGGGTAGACAATTTTTTGAGGAAGTGTGAGGCTAATTAAAAATATTTGTTAGATTATTTGCATTTCAACTCTTTTCATGTATTCCATTATTTACATTCCATCCACGTATTTTCAACGTGTTTTTTGAATAAAACATACTTTCGCCTCACTATCTGTTATTTGTAGCTTTTTGTTAGCTAGTTTATTTTGAGGTGAGGTTCAAGACTTGACAAATTCTAAGAAGTGAGGCTTAAAAAGTTTGAGAACCACTGCACTAGGCTTACTTTTAGGTTGACCAAACCGCTACTATCTACTACAATTGAAGTGCATAGATAAATGACTATGGGATTCCCATCGATAATCAAATTGAACCAAAATATAAAATGATGGAAATGTGTTTGCAACCAAGTGGAATTTGTGAGAATAAAACTATTGAAAAAAAAAATGATTCAAATTTTCTATGATAACCTTATTTCACCAGTCGAACAAATGATGTTCAGAATTCAGGCCAGCAAAAATGAACTCCAGATTAAAAGTTGCATCCAAAACAAATAATAATAAAACTCACTCAGTGCTATTTTTAGCCCAACATCAAAGCATGGCTCATTTCTTATACATTTTTAATTGGAAAAGAGTTTGAAAGAAAGAAAATTCATGTCATGAACAGTTGATTTCATAGATGCTTTTGCGAGTTGGAATTTCAGGAAGTAACAAGCGTGTGCAATTAGATCATTTGGAAGCAACAAAAATCAAATATTTGCATTGTAGTGCTAGAAATGGTCGCAACAATGTGCTAATGATTTCTACATTATTGTAGATCACATATCTAATTGATTCTAAACCGACATTAATATGTATCAAAGCACTAGAAAATAAACATTGAAAAAGATGTATACTCCAGTTCAAGTCAACTCCTATAATTTAAAAATTGTTTATATCTGAATTTAACCAAAATATTTTGAAAAAATTCCAAGAAAACACAGCAAAATTATTGTACTTCTGTACGGAACCCATTGAATAACAGGACAACCTAAATACGGATGTTTTATAGCATCTGGAAGGGTGGTCACACTTTTCATGCATTTGAACCTAGTTTTCATGTTCCTCTCTTAATTATAAAACTACATAATGATTTTCACAGTGACCATTTTGAAGATAATGAGTTAAGATAATGATATAAATGAATCGTTACAAATATACACATGCTTAAACTATGATAATGATGTAACAATCGGTGGCATCTAGAACGTAGAAACATGAGGTTTTAAGCTATTTCACTAAAGTTTGATGGGCCATATTAAATCGGTATGTGGACCGTAATTTGGGAATTTGTAAACTGAACGTCAAACAACAATTCAATTAAATTTACCTTGATCTTAATATCAGCAGGTTCCTTATCAACGGTTTTCAATGGAAGAGACAATTCTGTTGCTTCATCAATATTTATCTTGTCAAGATATAGAACAGTACTGGCAATGGCTGAATCTGACAACAAGTAACATAGAGTTAATTGATTGACATTTTGAAAGTAATACCACTATTGGTACATTAGTTGATATGGATTTAGATTTAAAAATTTGCTCAAGAACTAGCTTTGCTATGACTACGATCATCACAAGATCAAATGAAATGTCCGACCAATCTTGTGCTGAAAATTAGTTCGACATAGATGGCGTCTCAAAAGAATACACTTATAATTTTGATTTGCTTTTCAGGTACTCATCATGAGCGTTCATTTCTTCAGATAACACAATATGGATGAGTAGTAAAATTTAGTTATTGTTTGCATTTTTCATCTTGCCAATCAGCAATTTTGCACCTCATATCTTGGGTTACTCTCCTTGTCATTCTGTGGGTTGATGAAAAATGCAAACAATACCTAAATTTTCATCCATATTGTGTTCTCTGAAGAAATGAACGCTCTATGATGAGTACCTGAATAGCAAATCAAAATGAAAAGTGTATACTTACTTTTGAGACAAGACAACCTGTATAGTTGGTTGGACAAAGACATATTTTTTTTACATTGTCTTTTGTCAAGTAGGGGGCATGGATGCAGAATACCTACAAGTCAGTGGAGAACAAACCAATACTTCAAAGTTTATTCTGCAAGATGTCAAGCGATGCACAATTTAATGATCCCAGCCAAATTATAGCAATTCTATTCAACCTTTTATATATTTCAGGATTTTCAGCTTAAAATTACAAATAAAAATTTTAAGGAAATGATAAATATTATTAAAATATTATTACTTTGTTCATCAACAAAAAAGGTCATGTTCATCCCCTACCTGTCATTATGTCGGGTTGAACATGAAAAATCTTGTACAATGTAACATCATAGTACAAAAATCCTCTCACCTGCCAGTTGTTCATTACTGTTCACAGTTTTATACAAAACAAGTTTCACTTCAGAAGATCTAGCACTTAGATCAAAAGTCAAATCATGATTTGGCCATGACAGGTTGGAACTGGATTCAACTGGATTAGTTTTGCATTTCTGATGAGGAAAATCTAATGTTGCTTGGCAATATAGAACCCCTTTATTTGGAAGACCGTTTGAATTTATCACTGCAAATGATAAGAACAAACCAATTTTAGATCTTAATAAAAATGATAATAAGTACTTTAATAAGAAATGTTTTTAATTCATTAATTGAGCTAAAATTTCAGAAAATACTCGTGGGAAGTAGGACAATTCTACCAATATATAATATGCCTTATCCACCATTAGGTCCATGCTTATGATATGAATAACTGGTTAACTATTACCAGAACCAAAATGGACTTGTAACAGAGAACGTGGTTTGCCTTATAATCAAGCAGTCTTACTACCTTCTCTCTTGTCTAGTGTAAATATGGAAAACACTAAATCTTAGGAAGATAGAAATAGACTACAATTGCTATATATACCTTTTATAATAAGTCTTTTCTCTCGTGCCCGGATAGGTTTAGCAGGACCTCGTCCCGATGGAGTACGCTTTATTCCAACAAGAGATCCCAAGCTTCCACTCAAACCATTTTTTGCTTTTAAATGATCAGATAATACACGAGATGTTTCGAGAGGCATTGTACTGGATTTTCGTATTTGCATATCACCGTCTATATTTGCAGCAGGAGTGCTGAATGTGTCAGTCTCTGGCATCAAGGTATGGACAGCTGGAAAATATTAAAAATTTTCATCAAAACCCCGATGTTTTTCTTCGACGCTCCAGGAGTGTATGTACCAATATGGAGGTAACTAATTTTATTCGTCTATTTTACATCAAGTTGCATATTCACTTGGCTAACCACAGACAGTCCCCAAACTTGTAGTAGAACTAAAATGAGAAAAATCGGCATAAAATTATGGCCTAACCCAAACTTGGTACACACACTACGGGAGTACCTTTTCTTCTGCCTAAGTCATGTGAAACTATGGAAGTTAGCCTTGATTTGAGGTAAATCCAAACCAGACTCCTCTGTCTAAATCAAAATTTCATGTCAAGCAAAATAGAACTGACGAAGTTGTATTTTTGAGGAATACTTTTTTGCAATTGCAATATCAAAAACCTATACTAGGAATTATAATATACTAGATTTCTAACTTAAATTATTATGAATGAAAAAGTACATTGAATGTATGAAAATTATTCACTGTTAGAGCAGGGATGGGCAATTACTTTTCTGAGTGGGCCAGTAACAGATAACAGACGTGGTTTCCGAGCTGGACGCTAAAAACTCAATAAGAAGCAAAATGTAACAATCATGGGTGGCAACATGACGTTATTTTTATCGATATCTCCAATGTAAATTTTTATCTATATACACTATAATCAAAATTTTAGCGGACACAAGTGGTCCTGATGTAACACTTCAGTGGGTCGGATCCGACCCACGGGCCGTATTTCGCCCACTCCTGTGTTAGAGGATATTATGGCTTATATTGAATTTTAAATCATAATTCAAAACATACTGTATCAAATTACTAATTATGGAATTTATAGTTCATAATCCAATATTTTTTCTTTATCTGCGTATGAAGATGTCCTAAAATTCTCATGACTAACATTGAATATGGATAAAAACTTGTTTGTAAAATGCAAAAAACATTGAAAAAATATAACATACCTTTCGGTGTTGCAAAATTTCCAACTGCGGCATGTTCCTTAATAGAAATAGTGTTCCCATTGTCATCTTTACGTTTAAGTTTTTTCTCTGGAGTATTGGAAGAGCGTCGTCTTGTTTTAGTCATAGGGATCACAGGACCCCATGTAGAAACATTGACATAAAATGGCGTTTTCAAAACACCGGCCTTTATCATGTCGGCGACAACCTGTATACAACAAGAGTAATATGTAAGTAATAATTTTCACAAGAAAAAACAACTTTTTTCCATACGACTTTCAGTTCAAACAAAGCTCCTTGCATCCCCTGCTTGGTAAGAAACTATCACAGACTTGAAGGACTATGATTTTTCCTGTTGACCATTTCATACTAATTTATTATACCTCGGGTGAAGTGATGGGCAAGATTTTTAACTTACGGGGCCAACATAGTTTAACCCAGTGGTTCTCAACCTCTTTTCTTTTGTGGCCCACTTTTATTACACAAAAAATTCTGTATCCCATTAACTTACTCATGCGAGGGTAAAACTACAGAAAATAGCCACTTCCGATTTGATTAAAATTATCACTAAGCAGCAAAAACAGCATCATCGTCATTGCTACTACACTGAAAGTTAAACTGATTTTTCAATAACTCTAGTAGCAATTTTTAATATTTTTGTAATTTGTAACCCACTTGAAAATGTTCCTGGCCCAGTGGTCACTTTATCTATCATTAGAGCAACGTGCCCAGACAAGAATGACAACACAACTAATCAAAAAATTCTAAATTTATATACCGTAATTAAAATCACAGTGGTTATTTTTGAGTAAATAATGATTTACGTCAAATTTGATTTAAATCATGAAAATCATGCAAAAAAATATCCGGATTGTCCATATTCAAATTTTATTACAGAAATTGGATTTACTAATATGACTCAACGTTCTGAAAATATACATAAATGTGCCCAATCTCATATGCCATATTACAGACTTCTCACAAGTTCAAATTGGCAAGGTAACAAGGGGTCATGTCTGTATAGCATGATAAATAGCTGCATAACAAGAGGAAAAATTGAGATTAAATGGAAAAATCAATAACATTTCTGAAAAGCTACTTAAGCAGATCCAGTTTCAGTTAATTCATTACGCATTAATGAAGCTACATTGGTATTTTGATTCATCCAATCCATTATAATTAAATGGAACGCCCCATTAAATACACAGAGCAAATATGGTGTCTATTTGATTAATGAACCTTGAAAGAATAAATAAATATTGGTTTTTACTGAGAATGAGACTATGCAAAATCTCAAAAAGCTTGCAGACATGGTAAAACTTTTCAAGAACCACCTCAATTTTTCAGCACTGACAAATCAAAATTGAATATACTCGTACATCGACATCTTCTTTGAGCATAACATTAATTTAGAATTTATTTGATGTTCCATATTTAAAAATATTATTTTAGAATGTATTTGAAATAGGAAATTATTCAATAATGGTCGTTGTATAACCTAGTTTTAATAGGACTTCATATGAACAAGAAAGAGTATGAAATATCATGTAACCTACTCATTCTTAATAAGTAAACATCATATTCAGCAGCATTGCAGCTTGAGAGCACAACAGTAAAAGTACAATGAGTGAATAATCGTTATTAAATTATTAGGTATAAAGTCAACATACCAGAGTATAGCAGGGTGTTACAAACTGGTCTCTTGACTAGCCTACCTTAGAGGGCCACGCTGGAGGCCTTCATTAAGTGGCATTTGCGATGACTGCATTAATTTTAAGTAAATTAACTGCGATTTGTTCTTTATTACAATCAGTTCTTTGATTGTAATGATTTATTCTCTTGCTTATTATTATTAGGATAGCAAATAGAATAACTGATGAAAAAACCATTAAAACAAAATCAGATTTTTTTATGGCAGAGCAAGGGGCCACAAATGCTGAGAGTCTTTGAAAAAGGGCCACGAAGCATGAAAGTTTGAGAACCACTGGAGTAGATCATGATAACCAACCTCTGGCACAGTCGTCGATATTTTCTGGTCTGATAATAATTTCATGTTGAAGTTGATAGTGTGAGGCCGTTCCAAATCTGGTTCCAACTTTGCCAGAACGTTGCCATCAATTCGTGAAATGATTGCTTTATACTGAAAAAGTTAGAGATGAAAAGAATTACTAGGAGGAAAGCAACAAAATATTGGATATATGGCTTAAAATTTATTAGAACAGTAGAAAAGCTTATTTGCTTGGTTAATCACATAAATTCAAAACGAACAAACTCGAACATCACAACTCTTCTTAATATTACACAAAGCTATAAGATGTTATATTGTCCAAACTTCTCTGACAATACTATTAAACAAAAGTCTGGCTCATTTGATGATGTACCCAAATGCGATATTTAAAAATTTTACGTGATAAAAAAATTCATTTTGCAACTGGCAAACAAAAGTAGTAAGGTGGTACACAAATAATGTACTTCTGGAATGGTACAAGTTACCAAGAGGCAAGAACACTTCAGAGAATGAGTACAAAGGAAGCAGGAGATCATGACACATGGTAAATGTACTTGAGTATTGTGGAAGAAACAAATGTGTGAAAATTGTTTTAATAAATAACATTTACCCAGCAACTAAATTGTGTCACAGCAGCTGTGTATGTGGAAGCAATTATTTTGCCGCCATCTTCCTCTTGCACACTGACGGTTAATCCAAATTCTTGAACGTCAAATAACACTGGAATTTCCTGTAAATAATCGTATTCTTTACAAACTGTTTTCGAGCAAGTAAGTAAACACTTTTACACGGTAAGTGTTACAGGTCTTAAACCTGAGGTGGTGAGATTGGACTGACATAGTATGATGTACCGTAATAGCAATGTTAAACAATGAGAACAAGACTTTTACTTTCTCATACGAAAAATAAAGACTAATCGACTGGTGAAAAATGATCTATACTTATCGCTATTGGTAACATTCCAATACTTGCAAACAATTTGGCAAAAAAGATAGCCTTCATATACAATAATATCCATCAAATATTTTACTAAAATATATACAAGAACTAAAGGACATTACAGGGAAGCATTGCAGATAAGATGAACTCTGATTTATAAGGTTTTCCTTATTTAGTGTTATTAGAAGTTAGATGAAGACATTTTTTGCATGATTGCCTAAGTGTGAATAGGTCAAAATCATAAATTTTAAATATATAAATATATCTTGAATTATTCCGAAAATGGAGAATTTACTATATCAAATTTATTTATTTCGAATGTATTCGAATATTCCATTCATTTCGAAAACCTTATATATTCAGTTAAGTTTCAACAAAATCAAAGCACCGGAAACACATAGCCTTACCTAGGAAATTTGAAAAATAAAACCACTGGCTTGAAAGTAGTTAGTCCCACAGAAACCAAATCAATAAAATTTACTGTTCAATTCATTTTGACAGTAAATGACAAGAAATTGAGCAATTGTTTTGGCACCGCTCAAAGTGAGATACTTCTGAATCATAGATTCAAATTGAGTATTGATTATAAAGATCAATACTCTTTAAAAGCAATTCATCTCTAATTAACTTTAGAGAATATTTACCGTGAAACAAAAATAAACTGATTGGTCCATCAATAATAAGTTATTGATATTTTACTTACAACATGATCCCGTACTTTTTGAAACTGTCCAATCTCCCTGATCCATGGTGGAATTGATCCTTCTCGAATCCCATATACAAGTATCTTGATTGGACTCTTGATTGAAAAAAACCATACGCTAATCATACTTGAATTAAATAAATTATAAAGCTATACATGAGGGAGAGTGCTGAATGTAGCTACGTTGCTGTAGCAGGTTAAAAATCATGGGTGTAAAGAACATGCCCACCACTGCAATGTAATAAAGTTGGATTTGGTTATTCCAAAGGGCATGAATAATTGTCATATTTGAAAAATCTACCATGATGGTATAGGCATGATGCTATGTTACAAGATGACTAATATCATCATTTCTGTAATAATATTCCACACATTGGTTAGTCTAACCAAATAAGTACAAGTTGACAACAATGTTATTAATAATATCAACCAGCATGGCAGTATGAGTAACAAGCATGAATGCCGGTATGTTGATTTATACATATTAAGTGATTGCCTCAATGTAAGTGAAACAATATGTAAAAAGGGCATCTAAATCGTGGCATGTAAGTGATTGTATTCAATTTGTCAGAATTAAATATGATGTAGGAGCCTATATAATTATATACATTGGAAAATAATGCAAACAAATATGTCTTCTCCAAGCTGAACCTCACACATTCCTTATACGGTTCATTCCTAATGTCTGTTTACCTCGCTTTTCGCCAAGTTTATATTGACATCTTCCATCCAACGTTTGATAGCATCAGGAGTGCCAGACGGTGCGCTGATGTAAGACCAATTGATTAATTTATTTAACCAAGCCAAATTATAACTCGTAAAGTTTTCATCTGAAGAAGCTGAACAAGAAAATATGCAAGATGATTGAACGTAGGAGAGATTTAATCAATATTAATTGTAAATTGATCAAACAAAGTAAACTGAAAATCATACCAACTTTACTTTAAATACAATTCCTCATATTTAAATGAAAAACTATAACAAGCCACTGTAATTTCAAAGTATATAGCTTTTCATATCTTATATCCGAGACAAATGAATTTATATATATTTATTGGCTGAAACCTATGGACAGGGGGTATATTCACTTCATCACTTGGCTAACACAGACAGTCCCCGAACTCGTAACAGGTCTAAAACAGGGAAACTCGGAATAAATTTATGCCCTAACCTGGTACACATACTATGGAAGTACCTATTTATCAATGTTGAAAGTAGTATGTACAAAACACTGCATAAGTCATTTATTGAAATTCAATAGAAAATAAGATTTCAATTTCTCATTTCATTCAGCAAATTGAAGGATGGATAATTTGATAACAATAAAAACAGCACAACCTCTTTCTGTTGATTATACAGTGCCAGCATCATTTGATGAATTACAATTAGGTAATTTTCTTGAAATAGAAACATTCCCCTTTTAGTGGCCGATGAGAGAAAAATTTCTCAATTGATTACTTCAAGCTTCATGAAAATCATACATTTTCATCATTATTCAAATAAGTATAACTAAAGGTATAATATGTGTCTGATTTCACATATTAATAATATCTTACCAGCATGCTCCTGTAATTTTTCTTCATTCAACTCTTGCCTGAAAGTAACAATGTCATATGAGTAACCGGAAATACAATTTTAAAGTACCGTTAATTAAATACCTCCACAAATTTTAAATCGAGTACTGATAAAAATTCCATAAAATAGTTAAGAATTTTGATAGAAATGGGAATGTTATTAATTCAGAGGTATAATTAATCAAGAAATATTTACCTATAACTTTGCCAGCAGAAATATCCAATCAGGACGACACAGCCCAAAATGATCAAATAAATGAGAGGCATTGAATATAAACTGCTACCGATAATAAAAGGACTTGCGTTTGAATCTTCAGGTGTCATTAACACATAACTGGAGAAGATTTGTCTGATTTTACTAAACAAGGCAACTAATATTGCCATATCAAGAAACCTGCGACTAATGAAATGTAACCACCAATTATTATTCAATTACAAATAGACAAAGATGAAAGAGACAAATAATATCTAAAAAATATTTGTCTAAATAAAAATCAACACACAAAATGCTCAAGTACGGTATATGTTTTGAACAAGCCATTTACCATAGGTAAATTGTTAGTTTGCCGATACTACAATCAATTAATTTTTGGAATACTGTGTGTCAAGTTTTGGATAGGCACAATTTTGTTCCATATAACACACTTATATCAGGATAGAAAACTTTGTTGAAAGTCAAGGCGGAAATGTATGGAAGTGAATAAAAAACTATTCTTATGTTAAAGTACTGTAGTTGGATTGAGGCACGAGGCATGCTAATTTCCTCTACAAAAATGATTTAGGTATAAATTCAAATGCAATTTATCAGTTTTGAAACTTTAATAACATTTCGAAGGCGTATTTCGAACAATGCACAATGGGAATGAATGATCACTTCTAATATTTACTCAACTTTTGCAGTAGTACATTCAAAAAAAAAAAACTCAAAAGATCATACAAGTTAAATTAGCGCATTTCATATTACCTAGTTGGAAATTAATTTATAAAAAAATTATACTACTGAAATATGGCATTCTATATATGGTTTGCAACAAATCAACTATGTAGCATTTATTATTATTATAAATATCCATTAAACTATACTGTATGAAATTCTGAATGTCCATAAAATGTAAATTCACGGATAGAATTACATATTTTTAAATTTTATAAAAACGTGAGGAACATAGTAATTCTAATAGACGCATGATGATAATTTATTCAGTCGAGTTTCAAAATAGTTATAAATTCTTGTAAAAGTTAGATTATGAAATATTTTGAGGTTTTTTTGCTGCTTTCTTTGCAGCAGCAAGTGCAGCAAGGTCAATAGCTTTGGTTTTAGCTTTGTCTTTGGCATCTTTAATTGTTTCAATTGTATTATCACTGAGTTTTGGAATGTGCAAATGTTTTACTTCAACAGAAATAGGAGTTTCCACTTTCGGTCTTTGATCAAAATTTGCAAGAACTTTTTCATATCCAGTTACGGCTTTTTGCGCATTCGACTTCCAGCGCGTAATCCCGAACTTTCGTAAAACTCTTCTCAGACCAGTAGCTGATGAATCTGCCCATCCTTCCTTCTTGCAATCAGTTGTTTCTGAAGTATTCGCTGTTAGTTGGATTTTTTCTTTGATGCTCATCAAGGTGACATAAGAAATATTCCAGGTATATGAAACCATTGTTTTATGCTGGAGATCCACGATGGACTCTTCTAAAACATGAGCAATTTTAGTCATATTGCTTGGAAATATCGTAGTTCCCCATTTTGGAAGTGGGTTTGTTTTGCCAATAATCCGTTTGGTGTACAGCCGATTCTCATCAAGAAGCTTGCGATCTAAAACATCTTCTGATAAAACATGGGTGCTGTTTTCATTGGGGTATTTTTTCCAGAAACAAGTTACAACATGTTCCCATGCATAACTAAATACATGTGAAAATGACTCATACTTTACCATTTTAAAACCTTGAAATAATAAAATCATATTTTAGAGAAATATTGCAAGTAGGATGCAGCAAGGAAAAATGAAGGCTATAGAATCTATTTGAACATGAATAGTACAGTAGTAGGCAAGGTTAACTCAAAAAATGATTCTCTATCTATAGTTGGGCACAGTTCTCCAAATCCAAGATATACAGACACTTGGTTTAATAAAACAAACACTTTTTTGAGCTTTAAATCGAGGGTATCTGGCACGACGACAGATGCGTGATGCCATGTGACTAAAATTTTATTTTTTCCCTAAAAATTCTAAAAAATGTTACAATAAAATTTTTTACGGTCTGACAGTATATTGGATTATCCTATGGTGACGTTTTCAGATTGACTTTTTGACACTCCACACTCCAGCTGCTTCGACAATGGTAGGCCATACATAATACTATACTGCCATAGACAACACAGCTTGAACTTTTATGTGCTAAAAAAGTACGGTATGTCTCGCATAGAATGAGTGTCTGAATGTTAAACGAGAAAGACTTTTATTAAAGAAAAATATAAAAACTTCACATTGTATTATCATGTCACATTTTTTTGGCAGTTTGGCATTATTTGAGCAGTTCGGTTCCAGTGGCGGTACCTCGTTCACTACGCTAGACTTGTGATTAATAAATAACAAATAGGGTGGCTTACCCACTTTGCGGCCACCACCTATTTGCGACCATCAACTTCATCGATTAAATCAATGCCGAAAAAATTAACGAACCGCGACGATATTTCTCACGCGTTATCGTTCACTTATCCCTCGTAGCTCTGGGAATTTACACTAAAATGCGGTCACAAACAAAAAAGTTACGACCGAAAATCCGAACGAAGAAAGAAAACGAACCATTTTTCCATGTCGCCAACTACTCATTGTTCCTTCAAAAAAGGTTGAAAATTCATACAAATATAAGAGATAAAAAGATGAAACTTGGCAGGCGGATAGAGTTATGTTTCTTTTGGCCATCTTTGAAGTTTCGCGTTCCTACATTTAAAAGAGAGGGAATAGGGGGGTGCGCATTTCCAATACGTCAATAATATCTTTGTCCACCAATTTACGACCACCGTGTTTTAGTCTGTTTGATTGCTGTGATGCGGTGTTTTGTTTATAATTTGACAAGTTTTGTTCGAATTAACCGCGTTCTTAAAATATATGACGGTCAGAAATGCAATTAGAAGCCCATTTTTTTCACGCATGGCTGCGTACTGGTATGCCCTAGCCTCGACGCAGCAGAAACGATGTTCAAGGCTTGAAATTCGTGGTTGCACACTGGTCGTTCGGTCGCGAATACGTCTTCAGAGTGTCGTACTTCGGTGGTTTGTATAGTTTAACCCCTGGTCGTAGAAAGTTAATTCGAGTTTTAGCATGTAGAATAAATGCCAATGCAAAAAATTAACGGGTTAGAAATATTGGTTTTCGTTTTATAGCGGTTTGAATGAAATCGTCCGCAGACTGGCTCCACCACCCTATTTAAATCCGGATAGCCTACTACCGGTATCATTCATAGCTTAGTTAAATCATATCCCATCTCTGCTGCATACAGGCATACCATGCAGACATGTAACATTGCTGCACTGCAACAGTACGGTACGTCCGCACGGTACCGGTAAGGCGGTACCGGTAACGTTAACGCCGGACAACCAGTCTTCATTTCAACAGGTAAAACGAATATGCAACAAGCAACCTATAACTTTCGTAATATAAATTATGAAGTTTCAACAACGTTTTTATCTCGCGCAAAATTACTTTAACGTTAAAGCTCCACTACCGACAACCGAAACAAGAAGGCTGAACGTCGCCACCGCCACCGGTCACGTTGACTACCGGAAGCTGAACCTGAAGTCGCGCTCCCACTGTGAAGTGTGAACTGTGGTCTGTGAGTGAGCTGCAGAGTTTCAATTTGAACCCATACGCATAAATAAAATGTTTTTTTGATGAACGCCAATTTTTTCCGAAGTGTTGACGAAACAGCAGTGCAGCAGTAAAAAGCAGTGTCTTGCTATATTTTGAAAAATTAGACAATAAATTGACAAATGAACAAAATATCACGGTAAAATAAAATTTCCATTTTAGTTTCACTTCACTCATGGCAACAAATTTTATGGCGCATGGGAACACTTGGACGACCCCGGTATTCCTCGCTGGTTCAATTAAGACTGTGCTTTACAAACTTTCCTCTAGCCAAGTGGTTCCCACCCTTTTTTGGATCGCGACCCCCCTGGGTGGTTAACCCATACCTCGCGACCCCCTGCCTCACTTTCTATACCTATCAATAAAATAAGCGACAAAGTGGATGCGCAGTTCTTACCACTTCACGGCAGCTTGCTGTGGTTATGGCGCTTATACCGATATATTCACAAAGTCGTGTATCAGATTTTAGTTTATCATGAGGAATTATATCTACTTAAATCTGAAACCCAACTTCAAATTCATCAAAACTGTATTCATAAGAAAAATATTCCAACTCACCCAATAGTTATCACCATCAGGGCAGTGGTGGAATTCAGCCTGTTCGCCCCAGTTCTATAGAACCGTCTCATTGAATTTTATGAGATCAGCGAACCGTCTGACAAAAAATTTGAATCCCACCACTGCATTAGGGGCAGCCCCGCCATTGCAGCCGACATGTCGTAGTTACAGCAGCAAAATTTTACCCGCCTTCGGTTTTCCATTTGCTGCCGAGGTAACGGCAACTCGCCATTGGTTTGTGGCAGCATAAAAGTCAGTCGCCGTGGGTTTGGCCATAGTTTGAAATCCCGCCATAGTTTTGCGGCAGCTTCAGACGCCACAAAATACTTGAAACTGCACTTGGCAAAGTGAATATTGTGTAAATTTATTTTTCATCAACCTGCAGTTTTACTGAATGTGACGGCTGGCTTTGAAACCGCGTAGCCAACTGCGTAATTCGTGGTTTAGTTTTTGATAAAGGTAATCTTATATCATCCTCGACTTTTATTCGATTTCGTGCCTTTATTATTATATGAAGAAGAGCTGAAAGCCGCTTTCATAACTTCATTTTCATTTTGTCGCTTCTTCACCATGGTTAATAAACTACCGGAATTATAACGTTACTGCAGGATGTATGATATTATTCACGATGAAACAACATAGACTACAAGCCTGCCATGCAGTAAACCCCGTGGTACCGAAGCCCGCGTGTTTACCGCATCGCGACGCGCGGAAATGCAGGTTAGTTCGTGTGACGTAACAAGGGTTAACATGCCATAAAGATCTCGTGCTTCTTGCTTGGTTTATGAGCAAGAAGCGACATTCTGAGGGTCTTACGACAGCGACAGTGGAAATCTCTCGGAAACAGAGCAGCGTCCGTTCCAGACATCTTCGCGTTCGATTGACAATAATTAACCTAAAGTTTTGTATTATTTTCCACTGTTTTGCAAGAACTTGGCGATTCCTCCAGAAACCCACTGCTCTAGCTCCTCCCCCTCCCACTTATACGACTAA